CTATTTATCAGTTTTGTGGTGAATTAACCCTGAAGGTGATTATTGGCTGATATACTATAGGCTAACCTATTACGGGGAATACATTTTATTACACGTGAGTTAAAATACTAAGCAACTGTTTTAACATATATATTTTTTTCTTTTTCAACATACATCAGAGATAGCATCCTCATATATGGTCATTTCATTAAAAATATTTTCTCCTGCTGTTTATTAACTATGAGAGAATATTCTTTATTTCTCCCTTCTGAAAAGCATAGTTTTCCAGACAGATCCTGCTAATTCAGTAAACTTATCAGTAAGAAGCCACTCATATAATTGCATCTTTTTTTTTTATTACCGTGCAACAGATTCTGGACTTTATGGGGGCTCCCTTTATTACAAAGCTTTTCTTTTCAGACTGTGGGCAACAGATCATTACCAGCCATTACGGATATTTGCTGGCCACCTTGCAGATGTGACATGTACTCGATTTCACCCTAACTCCAACTATATTGCCACTGGCTCAGCAGACAGGACTGTACGGCTCTGGGATGTTTTAAATGGGAATTGTGTAAGAATATTCACTGGACATAAGGTAAAGGCACATCACCAATGTGACTTAATTTCTATGGTGGGATTCTGAAGAATACAGCGTTCAGAATACAGATGACTGACTAAGTAGGCTTAATTAGCTTGTTTGGCTTTCCTCTCTGCAAATGTCTTTTGTAGGGTCCGATTCATTCATTGGCATTTTCACCTAATGGACGATTCCTAGCTACAGGAGCAACAGATGGCAGAGTTCTGCTGTGGGATATTGGACATGGCTTGATGGTTGGAGAACTGAAAGGGCACACTGACACTATCTATGCGCTCCGATTCAGTAGAGATGGGGAGATTTTAGCATCAGGTAAAAGTCACTGGAAGCAAACAAGTTTCCATTGTGTTCCATCTATATGAAGTGGGATTATGTAATGGATTCCTTAAGATGTGGAAGACAAATTAGTCATTTTCTTAAGCAGAGGCAGCAAATGGTACAAGGTATTCTGGGAACTGAAGGAAAGGTGTTACACAGTTAATTGATGGTGAATGTTGGGGTCTGTGTATAGTGTTGGTGTAAACTGAAGTCAGAAATATCTCTAGGGGAGACAAGAAGTGGCTGGACTTAAAGATGCTTGGGGTACTGAGATGGGAGGAGAAGTGGGGAGTACATAGCAGGACTTGAAGAGAGGGCAAGAAAATAAGTAATTTGTAGCCTTACTGTTTCTTCATGCTAGATTTTTAATATAAAATTATACATCAACAATCAGGTTTATGAGCAGTGGAACTTGTAAAGTTTGCTTGGTTTTCCTGTTTGTCCACATGGATACTCTGGTGGCTGATTTGGTAGGGCTCTTTTGCCACTATTTTCACTCTGTGAAGGCACAAAGTTTCATCTCTGTGAACTGTTGTCTTAAAATGCATAGGAATTCAGGAAATTCCAAATTTGCTCTGTTGTTAACTAGTTGAAGTTAGTGAAAAAGTTCAAGTTACTGATAGAAGAAATAATGTACAGATACTGTAAGCTGTATCCTAAGTAATTTCCTTACAAAACCAGGCTAGGAATTTGTTTAGTTCCCTGTTTCTAACTGCAGTGCTTTAAGAATCCTAAGTGAGCCACTTCCATAGAGTGAATGCTTCCAGAGTGCAGGCTTGATCCAGCCTGCAGGGTGGTTCCTCCAGCTGACCAGTGCTCCAATGAAAGCACAGACCACTGGGCCTGCAAAATACTGAATCTTCCCTCTATCAAAGAAACTATTCCAGTATTAAAAAAAAAAAGTTATTGTGTGACTTAGAATCATAAACATCTGGTGGAGTTGGCATGTAGCCCTAAGGTTGTCTTGCCTTTTCAAGTGCTGGCTGATAGAATGGAAACCCAGATGTTCTGAGAGATGCTTCTTTGCACTTTATCCACAGTGTGTTCCTGTTAGATTACAGGTGATAGCTTTTATGTGTGCTTTTGCTGTGTTAAAGGCTTGTTTAAAAATGCTTCATTGCAGGTTGAGGGCTTAGGATTCGTTTATGAGTAATTCAGCTTTGTGAGTATTAACTCCTGTTGTGTTTACTTGCTGTCTAGCAAGGAAAATACTTTTAAATGTTACTTTCCTTTTTTCCCTTTTAGGTTCAATGGATAACACAGTTCGGCTGTGGGATGCAGTGAAAGCATTTGAAGATTTAGAAACAGATGACTTTACTACAGCCACTGGACACATAAACTTGCCTGAAAACTCACAGGACTTGTTACTAGGTACATACATGACCAAATCAACTCCAGTTGTACACCTTCATTTTACACGCAGGAACTTGCTGCTAGCTGCAGGAGCCTACAGTTCACAGTAGATCAGGAAGATGTAAGACTGGCTGTGCCAAGTTGTTGCAGCAGTGACCTCAGGATGTGAGATGAAGAGAAATGTCTTGTATGGTAGGGTGGACTTCAGCAGTCCATTGCAGGAAAAACAAAACTATGTAAACTAACTCAAGCAACATCTTCTCTGTTCTGCTCTCGTAATTCACATATTCTGCTCTCACAGTTTGAAAATGCTGGAGATTGACAAGACAATGTGAGTTTAAAGGAAGGAGTTGTTTCATGGTGCTTTTGATAAATGTATACGTACACATATATATACATATATGTATGTATATGAAAATGGCTGTCTCCTCTCAGAGATGGTATTGAGCTCTGCTGAAACTTCTGGAAAGTTAACAGCCTTGGTGTTTGTTCTCAAATGATTTTTTTAAAGCACTTAATGTACGGTTTGGTAATGTTTAACCAGTCTTAAACACAGGTAAAAACTTCAGACTCAAAAAAGAAGAATGTAGTTTAACTCACTATAGCCTGGGCTGGGCAACAGGTATGGTGAGAATATTACAGCAACAAATGGGGCATTGAAAGAATAACCCCAGCAGGCAGAGGCTTGTGGGGAACTGCAGAGAAGTTACACGTAGTTTTTATGCATCTAAGTACCAAGTCCTGAGAAGATTTCAAACTTCTATGCTCTTTTGAGTTATTAGAAATGCAGATCTTGTTATTCTGTTCTGACAAGTAGCTGCTGCTGTGTGATAAGCAACACAAATTGCAATGTGAATTCTTTGGAGGGAAGATCTGGGGGGGAAACTGACATTCATCATCCAAATTTAAAAACAGTATACTTCAACCCTCATATGTTTTATTAGATTTAAAAAGCTTCAAAAATCTTTCAGCATATAGTTTAATACATCACACTGTAAAACTAGTGAAGGATCAAGAAATTGCAGAGCAAAAAGCTTAATCAGTCCTCACTATGCTATCAGTTTGCTTTTGAAAGGCTGGCTTGTCTGCTTGTGTGACAATTGCCACCCAAAATAACCCCTGCTGTACTCCAGTAAGTCTTGCTGGACAACCAGTAAAGCTCAGAGCTTCTAAGGAAAAGTAAAACATACAAAACACTGGGAGGATAGACCGTGTTTTGGGGTCTATGAATGGGAAAGGCCTCTTAAAATCTTCTTCAAACTACATACAAGAAAATCTCAGTTTGTATTCCCTGATACTTGCAGTAGAGGCTCAGGCACTTAAACAATCTGCTGGCTCTCTACTGAAGATGCAGAAAACTAAGACTTGACATTTCTAAGGTAAACAAAGAACTACCTCCTATCTCATCCTTTTTCTGACTAAGCCTTGGAGTAAAGGGGCATTGGGGCATTAAATGTCAAAATAAGGGTGGAAAATTCATAAGGAAACTAATTTGGAAACTTTCTTTAAAGACAAATGGTTAAAACTAAACTATTATGGATTTTATCTGTAAAGGTACATCAAAATTTCCTAGCACTCAATATGACCAGCTGGACTTAAGTAAGATTGTAGTAAATTAAGCAAGTTACCTAAAAGCACATACAGCATTGAGAGCTTGAAGAAAACACTGCCGCATTCTGCCTTTTTATTTTGTACAGTTTTATACTTTTGATAGTATAATAAATACTAAAACCACATAGCTTGTGTCTGTAGACTGTATGTTGGAAGAAGATGCTTTCTTTCCTTGACAGCTGCAGTGGATGTGAGAGTAGTGCTTTTCAATGTGAGTACTCTACTAGGAGAAACAAAGTAGTTCAGCAGTTGATGACTAGTTGTTTAACTTATATTTAGTTCTAACTGTATGCAATACATTTTAGCCAGTTGAATGCACTGTTACAAATTTATTGTTCACCTGGAAAGTCATAAAGGGCAGAGGCTCTTGATATAAACAGGACGGAAAGACTAGTTTTATGCAGAAGGATGGCTTTAATAATAAATTAAGGCTGGAGGGAGAACAGAAGAACCTCGTGTAATCTCCTCTGACCTACACTCTTTTTGCCAGCAACCATGCTTACCTCCTAAGTTTAGGGTTTTTTTGTCTCATGCTTTTAAATCACAGGTCCCACATTCAACCCTTGTTGCTGGTGACCTGCCAAGAAGCATTGTGCTGTGTAATCATCTTCATTGAAAGAAATGAATTTTACTGAACTTTGTTGTAGAAAAACAGTGGGTAGAGAACATGATATTCTGGCTTTAGGGGTGGGCAGGGAGCTGGCTGTATATATAGGTCAACATTTTGAGAAAGTAAGGAATGTGTGCTAGGATTTGATCATGCTATCGTGGGATGCTTTCACTCAAACCCAGAAAGATTCTATGCAAAATGCAGGCAACAGAGGCTGCAGCTGACTGCTGTTCTGCATTGCATTATCATTAATGAAGTAATGGTTTCCATGTAAGCTAGTAGCTGGAAGTGTAAAAAAAAAAAAAAAAAAGGAGTAACCAGGACAACCAAGTATTGCAAGCCATGCAAGTTTACTGATGTCCACTATGACACCTGGCAACACAGAGATGCTTTGAGCAGCTGTAAGCTCTGTGCTTGTCATGATCATGCTGCTGAGATCTTTCCTAAATTACTACTGAGTGCTCAGGTCATTTTAGGATGTGTTACAACAACAAATGATATCAAATACTCAGGAAAGAATCAGCTACTCCATCTTCACTACAAATTATTTTTGAAATAGGAAAAAGTACCCCACTTCTGCTTCTTTGCACCGTGTCATATTTTCAATAAAGCAAGTAATTGTTTATATTTTATTAGCCATCACAGGACATCAGCTTCCTTTACAATGATTGGTGCTTCAGACATGCCAGAAACCTGCCAACAGATGAAAGAGCAAACATATTAGTACCACTGTGCAAGGCTTGCTATTTGAGCATCATCCCTTCCCACAGTCCAAACAGTTCTACATAAAAGCAGGCAAATTTCAACATATTAAAAAAAAAAAATGAAGTAGTGTCCCTTTATCATAAACAGTAATAATAAGCTGAAGCTTATTGTTTTCTACCCATTTTGCAGGATATGAGGACAACACAAAGGTTTTTTCAAAAAGCCATTTCAGTGGAAGTGTATTTGAAAGTGGACTATATATTGTAACACTTGGTTTTTGCTATGGAAGAACAAGCTCAACCACTTCCCTATGGTCCTTGCCTATTCAGGTCTCAGTGCATACAGCTTTAGTGTATAGTGCTCCTTTTCTCTGTTCAAAAGAAGGTCTTAACAACGCAGCATTAATCTCCTCTTAGTTATTAATTGTATCTGAGAACTCTAAGTCATTAACTATTACTTTATTTCAATACTCAAAGCAATAGTTATTTTTACAGCAAAAGGATAAATCACAGGCACATTCTGTGTAGGCAGAACCTGACACACCTAGATGCAACATCCATCAATTCCTCCTTCCTTGTTTACTCCGCATGAGGATCCCTAACCCTGCTTGGCATGTCTAAAGAACAAAAAGAATAGTAGTAACCCACGATTTCTATAGACCCCAGTAATGACCTAATTTGTTCAGGATGCCCCCTGCCCCCAACAAAAAAGTGACTCTATAACATAATTAAGGTTTAAAATTGTGCACAAAATTCACGTCTGTGTTTCTCCTCCTAGTTATGCTTTGTTACTAGCAGTTTTTTTGTCACTCTTTCTTCCTAGCTGGAATTGAATCATTTTCTAGAAGAACACTGGCCGCTTACCATTTACTTATCTGCCACAGCAGGAGTCTTCTTTTTAGGTCTGAGCTTGAAATACAAGACAAGCATTGCAATGCCTGTATACGTTGCTATTACATACTGTAAAAAAAAAAAAGTTTACCGTCAGTCTAAAACTCAGAAAACATCATTATTACCAGACTACAAAAGCTGTCATGATACGTACATTCCTTCTGCCTGTGATGGTGTAGGAATTGAAGTACTTCTGAAATCCAGTGAACTGGTGTTGAGATCCTGAGTCATGGCCAGCCATGGTTGCTGGTTCTAACAAGCAATACAAGACAGTTAATAAGTTTTACAGTCAGTTGGACAGGATCAATAGAAGATCAAACTGATCTCCATGCTGTGCTTAGTTCTTCCACTGACAGCTATTAAAATGTTTCCAGAACATTTAACACACTAGATATACACTGAAAAACGGGCACATTCAGGGCACTGTATCTTAAAAGGCAGGAAAATAAGGGGCTCTGAAAAGGAGAGCACTTCAGACTTTCCAGAGTTCATTTAACAGAAATTAAAATATGTAAGAAGTAACAACAACAAAGGAATATTCCTGAAAAAAAACCTAAACCACCCAAACTGCTAGTCCTGCCTACACAACCATTTGGTACAGTTTTTTAGCAATTGTTCAGGAATTTGCAATACTTAATGAAAATAATTCATCCTAAGCTCAGCTGGGGAATAGCTTCAATTGCACATCCAAAAGCTCAGCAGTGACCTGATTCAGGCAAGACCACTGCTCCACTTTGCAATTCAAAATGCTGCGTTGCAACTTTCATACTATATTACAATACAAGTGTTTGGTCAGTAAAACCTGCTCTGCTCACAGTTGCACGTTACTATTGTATCTTACTTGACCAGATTGGGCTAAAATACATATTTCTACTCAGTTTTCAGCTATACCAGCAAGCCAACTGAGGCAACTACGGGACCTTATAAGTGTTTTCACAGGTACAGAGAAATCACCAAGCACATGAGAGCACACCTTTGCATTTTGTCTGCATCCAGACCAAAATTCCAGGTCTACTGCAAGAAGCCAGTTAACACAATAGCCTATCAAACATACAGGAGCATACTTGCAGAATCACTCCGTAGCAGAGGCACCTCTAGAGATCACATAATCCAACCCCAACCTGATCAAAACAGGGTCACTCATGGACTTGTCATTAGGTTTTAAGTATTTCCAGAGATAGAGGCTCCACAAATGCTCTGCAGAGCCTGTTTCAGTGTCTGACCATCCTTACAGCACAAGAGGTTTTAATGCTTAGAGGTATCTTTTCTAAGAGTAACCTTCTCTTATGCTTAAGGAAGCCTTATATTTGGGACAGATACTTGTTTACTTTATAGCTCAGCTCAAAGGAAGCACACATACCGCACACTACCTCCCAAGCTTGGCAGAGATGCTGAAGCCCCTGGCACCCTGTAAAATAGAAACAGAAAACGGGTGTAGCTGGTTCTGCATTCATGAACACAACCCCTGCACAAACCCGACCCTGTAACACCTCTACTATGCGGTTAGAGATGCCTGCCTGCACCCTGCTGATGGTGAAACAGCAAAGACCCTCAAAGAAACCTCCCCAGACATTTACAGTAGACGATTTGAAAAGCCAACCTTATCTTTTATTTACACAAGACGAAGCAAAACCCTGAAGAAGAGTCACTGGGAAACTTTCGAGGGCGGCTCGGAGCCCAGACAGCGCAACACACGCTTTCCTTTTCAGAAGAGCTCTCTGCCCTCGGCCTGCCTTTCACAGATGCTGCCTCGCCACGGGCCGGAGCCAGAAAGGCGGCACAGCGGCTGAAGGTCGCGGACGCCCTTGAGAACAGCCACAGCCCAACACCACGTACAGCCGTCCTCCCATCCAGCGGCAAAGTCCACCAGAAAGAGCAGGAGGCAGAGACCCAAGCCAGACAGGCTCCCTCCCACCGCAGCCGCCACAGCTACCTCAGCCGCCTCCTTCCTCAGTGCTTCCCTCTGCCCTTCTTCAGTGCCCTCCCACAAGATGGCGGCCGCCCAGCTGCGCGCGCAGCCACCGATCCTCACGCTGATTGGCTGTCCACGGAAGCAGGACTCTCCCTCCGTCCCGCCCCACTCCCGGCCTAGAGGACGGCCCGCCGCTTCCGCCCGCCCGCCCTTTGACCTTTGACCTTCTCCTGGAGTACCGCTTCCGGGGCCGCGCGGAGAGCGGCGCACGTGAGGTTTGGAGCGGTGCGAGTGGTGGCGTTGAGGCCGGGCCTGGGGTGGGGAGTCCGGGTCTCTGTGGGCTGAGCGGTTCTGTGCCAGCGGCTGCGGAAGGGGGTTGCAGCTTACCGTGCCTTTCTGGACTTTCGTTGTGCGCTTGCGCGGGTAAAGAGGTGTTCGGTGTTTGACAGACGGCTTTAAATGTGATTAATTAGCGATAAGGTACGTGTTTAAATGGCCCTTGTAATACTTCAGCGTTGTGAAACGCCAGATACGTTGTGAGTTTTTTGTTTTTCCTCACTGACCGCCTGGGAAGCAGCTACCTGGATTTTTTTCATAGTTTCTTGGATAATTCAGTCTTATACCTTTTCAGTGTTTGTGAGGAACAAGTCTAACAGCTGCATGTTTAACTAATGTTTTGTCATTTGTTCTGTAGAAGTGCAGGTATGGCATCCATGGAAGAAAACTTTCCTCGAGGGGGAATCCAGAAGAAGCCCACAGAGACAACAGGAAAAAAAGCAAAACCAAAGTTTGAGCAGGATAACTTGTTTGATGTATGTCAAGAGTTCCATCCACTGTCAGAATATGACCTAAAATCCTTCCTGTCCCTTACTTCTGTAGTAACCTATAGGAAAGACTTCTATAAAGAGATAACTGCTGGCATCCTCCTTGCTTCTGATCTCTTAAAGATCCCAGCTATCTGATACATGTTGAATGGGATGTCAGGGAAGTGCAATGAAAATTACCAGCAGATGTTGCACAAGCTTCTAGTGCTAAGATACCTGCATTGTTCCACTAGAGTTGTTGCATGCAGACAAAGTTTGGTCTTTCTCTGTTCTGTGGAGCATGGTGCAGTTTGTTTTTACTGCTCCTCTTTGCTCCCATGATTCATGGTTTTATAAAAGATTGGTCTCAGCTTAAAAGGGGATATTTTAAAAGACTTCCATGAAGGCATATAGAAATTAACATGCTTATTTCATTTTTTCTCCAATCTCATGTTTTCATCTAACTTTATTCCTGACAGTTGAGTTATGCCTTAACATGCTGTTCATCTTGTTATCTACTTTTCTTCTTCTTCTCTCTACTTATAATCTAATTTAGATTCACCATGAAGAACAAACACAGAAAAGAAAAAGGAGTGAAGGGGATCATAGGAAGCAGAAAAAGTTCAAGGCAGACAAAAAGGCTCCTGCTAAAGACGTTGCTATTAGTGTTGAACCACTCACAATTCAGGTTTGTGGATAAATGTTATATTTTGTGTGTCTCTCCCTTAATGAACTTGGAAAAATGCTGTGTTTTCCCTCACTAAAACCTGTAACATACAGCAGGAATTCAGGACAAAAATGTGTCTACCGCACTGACTTGCCAAGATAACCACTGTGTGCTGTTGTTTCTGTTTTCCCAGGAGCTCTGTGAGGGGATGCTGCTCCTTGGTTGTATAAAAGAGGTCACTGTCTTTGAGCTTGTCATCAGCTTGCCCAATGGCCTTACAGGATTTGTGCCAGTCACGCAGATCAGCGATGCCTATAGCGAATTGTTGAGCAAGCAAGTGACCCAAGGGGAGCTGCTGGAGGTGAGACTGTGGGTCAGGGCTGTGATTTCTGTCTGAGACCTAGGGGAAATTAACTCAGAATCAATCCTGAATTCTTGCTTAGGAGCCTAGTTTCTGGTGTCTCACAGATAGCTTAAGTTTGATTGCTTGCAGCAACTTAGCCTTGGTTAAATATTGCATGAACTTCATAGACAGCCTGTTAAACTTGGATAGATTTGTGCTTTCTTTTTGCTGCAGTAGTTAAATACTGATCCTTGGCAGTAGGCAGTTATGAGGAAGTTAATTGATTGGAAGATGCTGTGAGGATGCCAGTGTCTCAGAGAGAGCTTGGAGGGAATAGTGTGGTCCTTATAATTTTGTTGTGTTTCTGCATACAATGTCCTTCTGCATAGTGCTAATGCATACTTTCTCTGAGCCCAGCTATTTCAAACAATATTTTCAGTTTCCTGATAATGCAGCTTCTTGGAAAGAAAGAGGATGGAGTAACCTGCTACTCTATCTATCCAGTGTCAGCTCTCCCTAGGTTGTTGTGGAATATGCAATGTGCTAGATGCTAGCCAGTTAGTGGTGATGTTTTTCTTTGTTAAAGAGGTTGGTGTCTGGCTCTGAAGATGTACTTTGGTCCTCAGCTGCAACATCTTGGCTTTGTCCTACCTGGTATTTCTATTTAAGCAAAGCTTAGCAGACTTTCCAGTATGTCCCTGTCTCTATATTGAGGTCGTGGTGTATGTGATATTTCCTGCCTTTTATTGTAGCATTGTCAGAGGTCGAGGACTTTCCTATAGGATTTTTATTTCAGAAACTCATTCAGTAACTATTTCTGGCCTTCTTGCATAAATTAATGTTGTCGTATTTATATGCTTGCTTACTTTTGATCATGTTTCTGGGCAGGATTTGAATTCTCTCTCAGACCTGTATTCTCCAGGGATGTTGGTCAGATGCATTGTGACCAGTGTTGAGAAAAGTGCCGATGGACGTCGGAGTATCAAGTTGTCCATCAACCCTAAAAATGTCAACAAAGGTCTGAATGCATCAGCACTAACATCAGGCATGGTATGTGTTTACAGCCTTTCTAGCCTTTTGAGGTGCTTCTTGCAGTGCATGAATGGAACACCTCAGTTTGTCTTTGTATGCTGTCAGAACAGAACAGGAATTTGCTGCCACCAGAGGAATAGACCTGGGAGGAGAGGGCAATATTGGATCTTGATTGTGTTCCTACAGGCTGTCACTCATGAAGCCATTCATATGATTTTTTTCGGGGGTGGAGGGGGCAAATTGTGCAATTACTTCTCTCTGCTTAAGTTTGTTGTTTATGCAGAGTAGTATTTAACAGCCTATCTCTTAGAGGTTCTTGGTTGTTTAATTTTTGTGTTTTCAGCTTTATGATTGCAGGTTTGTGTCTGCAGTTAGAGCACCTGCTATATTTGAGCATTCCATTTTTATTTTTATTTTTATCCTACTTGTCCCGTCACTCCATACATACATACATAGCTGGACAAGGATAGATTTCAGACTCCCATTGTCAGGTGAGCTATCTAGTGAGAAAGAATGTTACATTCGTTCTTTGCTCTGCGAAAGTTTTCTCTGGCCTCATGAAACAAATGAGTACTTGTGTGGTAAATCTCTCATCAGAGGTGCATTCTCTGCAGACTCAGCTGTTTCTTCGCATTACTGAATTGCAATGCTTCCCTCCCAACAGCTGCTTTCTGGATTTGTGTCTAGTGTAGAAGACCATGGCTACCTCATTGATATTGGAGTCAGGGGGACTCATGCTTTCCTTCCTTATCAGAAAGCCCAAAATTACATCAAAGCAGTCAAGAGAGGTATGTAGTATTACAATAAGAGCTGCAGAAGTTAAAAAGATGTGGAGAATAAAAGGGACTGAAGCTCACTGTACCTGTGGTGTTAGTGCACCTCAGTGAGGGTTGGGTCATGATGGAGTCTTTGCAAATTGTTGAAAACAGCAGTGGCTGATAAGCAACAAGACACTAGGTTCCCTGTTTTCTGCCAGACCATGTTGTTGTTCCAAGCCCTTTTGATCCTTGCTGGCAGTAGATCTCACTTTGATGAGGTCTTTTAGCTTCTTAAAATAGAAGGAACTCTGAAAAAGCTTTGGAGAAAGCTACAGACGAAAAGGAACCCCTTAGTGTTCCTGGAAGGGAATTTATGCTGTGGCTTGCCTTTGTAGGGTCTGACTTGAAAATAGGGCAGAGCCTGACCTGTGTCATTGAGGAAGTAAAGAATGAGGGAAGAGTTGTCCGTTTGTCTGCCGATCGATCAGAAGTTGCTGCATCCATTGCAACAGAGCAGCAGAACTGGACACTCTCTAATCTACTGCCAGGGCTGGTAGTAAAAGCTCAAGTGCAGAAGGTAAGCTGCGTTTTTGTTTGTGGGTTGTTTTCTTTCTCATTATTCTTTTTTGAGCCTTCCTGAAGAGATACAGATTAAATGGACATGTTAGTTGGTAAGCTGGAAAACTCTGTGTTTGGGTTCAATTACATGAAAAGAGCAGACACTGTTTTCATCTAGGTGCTCCCAGTAGTTTTACCTGAGGTCTGATCTTTGCCGTGCTTCTGATACTACGAGTACAAAGGCTTTGTCCAGGAAATGGCAATAAACCATGCAGAAGAAGAGGATGATTTTTTTTCTCTGGTCTATGCCTGGGAAAGTATTCAACACTGTTGCAGCACTCCTCAGAGTAAAGACAACATTAGTGGAAAATCTGAAGGATTGTTTTTACAAAACAATGTAGAAAACAGAATTGTTAGCAGTTGTCTATTTTGATGTGTTTGTTTAGTGCAAGGTGACTTTTTGTGAAATGTGTGAATTGCTCTCTGTTTTTGAATACTGATTGACTTCTTAATTTTTTTAATTATTTTTTTTTTTTTTCATGTATAATTTCCTTCCCCCTTCTAGGTGGCTCCACTGGGTATCAGACTCACCTTTCTGTCTTCTTTCACTGGTATTGTGGATTTCATGCATGTGGACCCAGAGAAATTCACAAATTATTCTCCAAATCAAGTGGTAAGGAAGAGGATGAAGCCTGGCTGGAATTATGTTGCTTACAACATCTGTTATCTTCTCCAGCAGCATTTTGAGGAAGGGTGCTTTTCAGTGGTATCTTTTCTGTCTTATCTTTCATTTGAATTATCATCATAGCTGCTTTAGGGCTGTAAAGAGCATAGCCATTCCTGGGATAA